CAATTTATTTTAATTTTCACCTCTCATACTCCCTCTACCGTTATCTATTTGAACATGACTTGGAAAACAATCGCACCTCTCTTTCTGCATGACTAATTCAAAGTAGTTTGTTTACTTATCAGTCTTACATCTCCCGATGTAATTTCAAAAGCATACATACCCAGGTATGTAGAATAGTCAGCTGACGAGTTCTACCGAAATTTGATGAATTCATTAAATCCTGCTTTATTAACCTTTATTGCTTGTTTTGAATTCGTATCGGGAAATAAATGTTTCCAAACCTTAAGTTAGTCGTCAGTAGGATAAATACTCATTACTGGAAAGATGAATGGTGTGCAGTGTCAATTTAGCTGCATTTCGATTTCTGACTTTACATGGTTACTAATACTAGTTAAAATTCACGATAATGAGTCACTTAAACAAGTGGTTACTCCATGCTTATTAGCTGGTGCATACAGATTGACACTCATATCTTACAAATTTAGTTACCTTTTAATTGCTTAAAAAATGGTCTATATTTAATCGACGCTTTTCTCAATCATTCTCGTATTATTTTCTGCAGTTTAAGTTATATTCGCAGTTAGGATGCATTAGGTAAAATGAGAAGGGTGATTACAGTTTTTTTCGCTATACGGATTAGTAATTATCAGTCGAATAGAGGTAGAGTAGACCAACTCGAATTAGATGTGGTGAAAAAGTATGTTCTATTGCTAACAAATAGTTTTACTTTACTTTGTCTCAATATTAAGCACTGAATTGAAGTTCATCCTATTCTTCCCACCAGTAAATCTGAACAAAGTAAGGAAGACAAATTCACCAGGATAATATAAGCCCACATTTTTAATTATTCGGAGGAGCTCATATTATCCTAGTACACTAAAGTAAATTGTTAGAAGGTTTAGATGTTGAGAAACGCTCATTGTTCTCCATCCGTTTTCTTGAATTTAGTAATAATAGTGACGATATCCTTCCAGTGCTTATATTTCGCAATATGACTTCTCGATCAAAAAATAGAGTTTTTAGAAGCCTACTGCGATCAAAATGTATAGTAAAAGATGTTCAAAAAGCACTACTTCCTTTTCTAGCATCTTGTTTGCAAAACTGTCGTACAGACTCTTGCTTGAAGTCAATTTGGTTAACTGCTTTCAGTAGCAGTGAACTTTCTAAAAGTATGTGAAATCAAATTACAAAGAACATTCGCTGCGCAGAACCAGTCCACCAAGGCATCCATATGCTAAATTATTCCATTCATTTAATAAAAATGAAGAACCAAAAAGAAGAAGATACGCAGTAAATGACAAAATATTCATAATCTATGGGATGGGCTCGGAAAAAATACAAGTAGTGGTTGTCTGACAAATCTCAACTACTGTGGTGGTTGATTCTAATCCACTTTTTATTTACAGCTTTTTCCCTCTGAGATATGATGATCCTCAGCTAAAGTGATTACAAAGTAATATATTTTCAGAGCCCCACAATTCCAAACTGGTTGAAAATAATCGACATCAACATAAGTTGAAACTTATCTGTATGTTTGCCCAAAATGTCGTTGACTAAATGTTTTATTACCACTCCTTTTGACACCTATACAAGTGTCACAACAGATACAAGCTTTGCACATCTCAAATCACTTTATTTTTCAAGCAGTCCTGTATGAGACGATTTCAAGACTGCATTTCTCACATCCTATGAATTCTGTGAAATACTTAATTACACTTGGTTTAACACATATTTCTAACCCCTCTAATGAATTATCACGCTTTAGTGAATTTTTAGAAAACTAAAGATATTTTGAGCAACATTCTGAGGTGATGACTAATCACAGAATTAAACCAAGTTTAGGATGCACACCCACAGCTTGTATAAAGAGATTGAATGTTAATCATTGTTTGTCTTCGTTTCAGAGGAATTAGATTTGAGCAAAATGTGTCAGTTTTTGCAGCAAAATAAAAATATTCTCTTACGCATTTATTTACTTAAGTATTTAAAAGTAATAACTATCAAAGTTATCTCAACTAGAGCACATAAAATATTTACCATTTTTATTATAGAATAAATCAATAACATCTGTTTTCTTTTCATTGATAATAACACTTAAAAGTAATCATCATGAGTCAGGCATAAACAAGACTAGAAGTTAAAGCCATATAGAAATTAGAGCGCAAAGTATTTACTTTGTTGACTAAGAAGGATTATCTTGGGGCTAACGACACAATTTGTTACAGTAGGTCAAATAGGCTGCCTTGGTTTGTCCCGGATTTGGGATATTTATCGAGTATGTGTCCTGATAATATGTGTAAATAACATTTCAGAGTGACTTAATTTTTAACGAAATACATCAAATAGTAGCCTAAGTTGAAAGAAACTAGATGCATCGCAGTTTTATGTAATAAAGGATTCTGGAATTCCATACGCAAGCAGAGATACAAGACATCAGTAACAAAACTGTCTTACTTATAGTAAAATATTCTTCTCAACATTATTGGAAAATAACCTGCAATTTCTTCTTAACAAGTGCGTAGATTTAGGAAAACCAGCTCATCAATTTTCCTCATTTCCAACTGATTTCCTAATTGACATTGATTATCCAACAAAATACGCTAAAGAGTCAGTTGAATCTTTTAAAAATTAGTGTTCTAAGGACTTCTAGTTGCCTTAAAAAGTGTTTCATTTGGACGAATTCTAATATCATATTCTTGAATATTTTAATTTGCTGTATTTTCATTATTTTGACATTTACATGTCCTTGCAGTCTTAGATGGGGCAAAACCAATGCCTAATTCCTAATCTCTCGTATGTATCCAAGTTACAATTTATTTTGACAGTTTAAATGTTTATTCGCATGATTAAGTTTGTCCATCTACCATTGTAACTTTAAACGCTACGTTAAATGACCAATATTTCAGTGGTTTTATTTGAATGGGCTTGTCAACCGACTTGCCAAAGTCACCAAGAATTAGATCCATATATACGGCTACAGCGAAGAAAATTTTATTTCGACGAAGTCATCAACTAGACTGTACATTCGTGTATTTATATTAAATGTGTGAGAAATTTCCAGAATTGTTCCTCGTTAAAGGTTAAATTAATAAAATTACTAAGTGTGATAATCAGGAAGATCTGGTAGAAAAGACATAAGAAGATTATAATTACTGGAAAACTCATCAGTTTGTATAATTATGGATTAAGAATGTACTATTAGCAAAATAAGTATGAGGTTCGGAAATATAACCAAATCTAGTAATGCAAATAGGAATTAAACATGTAAATACAACAGAAATAAACAGGAAGGCTGAACATGAAAGGGAACTGGATAATGATTATTGGTGGGAATGACTTTTCATGGTAGCCACTTTAGAGACAACGGTTGGACTTATTTCTTTCGCACACATAGAGTAGGCTTAGGTCGCCTCAGCTATTCTTAAATGTCTTGATTACACTTTCTTTGGTAGGTTTGATCGGAACTTGTATGTGGCTTTGGAGGACTTTTCAAATGGAGCTGAATGTCCAGAATTCACTAGGTGTTCTGTTATCGAACTGTTTACCTCTTTGTGTTTTCCCTTTGATAACCATGCTGGATAGTGTTCCTGGGCGCGTTTTACAAGCGGACGCTCCACATAAGCAAGTGAACTTGTATATGCAGGTTGAAGTGGCTTACTGTAGCAGCTTGTCTTTCTCACACATTTAATATTAATGCACGAATGTACAGTCTGGTTGATGACTTCATCGAAAAGAAAATTTTCTTTGCTGCAACCGTCTTTTTAACTTATATATCATTCTCGCTGTACGACTGAAGAAGAGTGAAGTAATACATTTAAGATGTTTTGGCTTTCATATTAGGCATAATTGCTGATATAAAAACAACAACTAAGCTTGCTGTAAAATAATTAAATAGCTGGCGAAAACTGTAGAATCAGATACACAAGTCAGACACATTTATTTTGTTTAGCAATATAAATAAAATATGTAAATTTAACTTAATCCGGAATAATGAATCCTACTAAGTAGCACACAGCCTGAATACAGAATGAGGAGATGAAGAATAATTTAACTAAGTAGAAGGAGAAAGAAACTGATTACTATGTCTGAGTAAAGAATTATTGATATCATAACATTTGAACTGTGGTAATTCAGTACCAGTCTAAGATGTACATATATATGTGTATCATTATAGTTGAAAAATGAAAAGCAGTTAATCAAGATGATTAATCGCACACCTATTTCTTTGTTAACATAAGATCTGCTTAAAATACAAATATTCAGTTAATTTTAAAAAAATGGAATTCTACTACGTTGCATTGTGCAAGCCTTATTACACTTTTATAATCTTGAAAACTAAACAACTTTAAATGTAGTAAATGCCTGCTATCCAGTGGAAAGCATGACTTCATAACCAAGATGGTACTGCAGATCTCGACAAGCCTACTGATGAAACCCCCATGACCAAATACTACAGTTAGAAAGACAATGGACAGGCTTCATTCTCATCCTGACCTAGAAAGCCTTTTTTATCACCTGAAACTTAAAATAATTTCTTTTCAATTTATGAAAGTAGATAATAATCTATGCAGATAATAATAGGCTTCAGAAATAGCAGTGAGAGTAAAATTATTATATACCATGTAAACCACATATAGGAATAATCCTGAACTTAGCCGAGTCAGTGAATATGTAGCAGTGGATATCAGATCCCAGTCTTGGTGAAAAATAGTTAAACACTTAGGTGGAGTCACATACGTTTGATGAATAATCACAAACCACAGAAAGGGTAACCTGTTTCGGGTGCAGATGATAATCTTTAGAAAACACTCCGTCAAAATGTAGTCTAAAACAATATTCGGACTTTCTTGCAAGAAAGTGAATACTCAAAACTACTTACTTCTGTGAAAATTCACTCTAAGAATACAATGCTTCCAGCCTTCTATTAGAATAAGAAAAAGAACTATTGTTTAAAAAAATTATTTTATTAATATTTTGTAAACAAATTTATTATTTAATTAGCTGTAGATAAATATGTTTTAATCTTCTCTATTTGCATTAATGGTGGGCTAGTCAAATTATTGTGTTGTGAAAAAATGTTAAGCTAAAACAAAGCAGAACTAACATTTGTATGAAATTTTTTCTTTTAGGCTTCAAGAAATGGTTATCATTATTATTACCGTTTACACTACATTTGGAATAAACTGATGGTTTCCAAAATGTGTAACACAATAGCCAAGATAAGAAATAAAACAATCAAAATCAAGATTAAAAGTATTTGAATAAATACTAGTTCTTGCTAGCATAAAACTTGCACTAGTTTTCATGCTACTTTACTATTTTTAAATTATTAGAAGCGTGTGTAAAAAGAAGTTGAAACACTGCTAAATGAAATTATAATAAATTAAATATTAAATAAAACTGACTATAGGTAATCCTTTTGATAATGATTGAAATACGCCGACTGATAATTTATCTTTCAAAAAGAGACCCAAAGTTAATCCGATCTAAACGCATAATGAATCATTAATTTTATAGAAGAAAAATAATAATTAAAAATTATTGTGTTCCCCTTTATTTATATTCTTGAAGAAAAATTTATAGTAAATTATTCTGAGTAATATTAATTCCTTATTTTGTCTAGGTTATTTCATTCAACCACAACTAATGCTTACTTTATTTGTCGTGCCACAAACATGTAAATTGGACCAGTGTCGTTGATTCGTGGACCTTTAATAAAATCTGTTTGTAACAGTGTCATAGATACTTGCCATGTATTATCACTGTTAAGATTTCCATTAGCTGTTTTATACGCACTATTCAAGTTTTCTAATAACTCCATTGACTGACTAGTATAATCATTACGTGACACGAAATCTCCTTGTCGTTTTTGTATCAATTCATTTGAATGTTCCACATAGATATTTGAAGTAATACCAGTTATGCTATTTCTTGGTAACGAAGCACCCAGCGGTAACACACACTGCCGTCTAGAATCATAAATATGGTCGTTGTTACTGTTATAGTTATAATAAAGTAAGCTACACTGAGAACCAACTGATGTTTTAGGATATTTAAGTTCTTCTCTCAACAGGTATTCTGAGTCACTCAGAGCCTTCTGTATAAGTACAAATAGCATTTTAGCATCTTGTGATAATTTGCATTTATAAACCTCATAAAATTTACACTTAGCTTTTTCAAATTCTGTACACAAAACAAACGTGTATGGTACATGTTCAGATAAATGCATAAATTTGATATGTTTGTATAATATAAATTTTCTTGGTGGATTAGATCCGCATTGTTTTGATTTCTCCAGTCGAATTTGATCTTGTAGACAAAATAGGTTACAATGAGCTACACGCTTCTTTATATGTTTTTGTATTAAGTCTTCCGCCTTTTGTTGATTCATTTCATCGTTTAGACTGACTTCTTTACGATTAAGTATACAGACATGACAGATATAATAAACTGATTGTTTTGTTTTCTTGTCAATTTTCATTTGATTCAAAGAAAGAGTACTTAATCCACTTTGTTCATTCACTTGACTGAAACTTAAACTTTTACTTCGACCCTGTGGCATTGTTTATTCAGTTTAAATTGAATTAAACTTAAAGTGGTTTATAATTTTGAAACAAATGAAGGGATTAACCGGCTGCCTGAGTCTAACTCCTAAACTAATCAAGAAAATCTAAGCAACGCTTTTTTATGCACTGCAGTGGTCTAGCTCTAAGTATGTGCACATGTATGTGTATTTATCTCTATGTGATTAGAAGAATTAAACTAAATTGTTAATTAATGTCCAACACAGCTCCTTCCTTTTAAAATACCTGATTGGAGTTTCATTAAATTCGATACAATGAAAGTGTGCACACGTTTGAATTGTTTGAATGTACATGAAATACTAAAATTTCTTTTCGTTCCCTTTATTGTTTGTTGTTTTCAAGACTGAACAAAATCGTTCAAAACGAAAGATGAAACAACTAGAATTTTCTATTTTAAAATAAAATTATAAATTCCAATTTACAAGATTATAGTTTGATGAAATTTGATACATTTGTTTATGAGACGAACAATAATTTAACTGCGAATGTTAAATATTCAATAACCACACTTTTCAAGTCTTAATTTAGTATTTTTCAATTAAGTCCCGAAAATTACAGAGAAGACTGAAACATATAACAGACGTCCCAATATAGGATAGCATAACGACACAAACATAAATTAAATTTCCAATTTATTGTTAGCATCTGAATTATCTTTAACTAGATAATAAATTAACGATTAGGAACATATAAAACCCATTACGTTTTGAGGTCATTTGTATGGGGCACATTATACTAATTATTGAGTAATTATCCATTCCCTCCTTCAGAAACAAAACTTGCGTCGGTGGCACAGGGGTACAATGCTTGCTATCCACGCATATCGTCCGGGGTTCGATCCCCGGCCAACGCACTCACCGCGCTAACCTAGTAATAAGACTGGTAAAGAGGGTGGGTTAGGCATGAAGCTAGCAACCCCACCCTATACAAATAAACAACACTGCTGCGAAACTTCAGGCCTCTAGCTGGGAACCCTATGTTCCATTGGGAACGTATTTGAATAAAAAAAACAAAATTTAGGGCTTCAGCAGAATATTGCAGCTGCACCATTACCTTCAACTTGCCTCACGACTACTCAAACCCTTTCATTTTCTCTTCACATGATCATCGCAACGTCTTCAAGAGATACCTGACCTCTCACCTCCCACTCAGGTTCCGCTAGATAGCCAGGCGCGTGACGTCGCTCGACGGTCTCCTCAGCGAATGTTTAGTCAACCTCCGTTTTCCATTGCATATTTGTAGGGTAAATTGATTCTTTCCTGCTAGTTGGGTGCCTACCAGATTCGCTTATTTGTTATTCCTTCTAGCGGTTCATATTATTTTCAGTATCTTGAGAAGATGTAGTGTACATTGACCCTTCGAACTTTCGTTTGAACTGACTCACCTGACCTTTAGCACTACTTCCTCTTTCGATTCGTGAAACTCTTGTACGTTCTTGGTTCGCTCTCTCGCTGTGCTTTCATCCAGCGCACTCTCCGAGCCTACCACAGTCAAGACTGCAGATAAGTGTTTAAACTTATTTCTTATCAAATTCCATATCTCTTTTGTGTAAATACAATTCTATTCCAGTCACACTTGCCATCTCAAGTCTTTTAACCTTGATTCCGTTCGTTAGTACTTGCATGTTAGGTAGAGTACGATTAAGGTCATAAGCGCTGAAGAAGTTTTGTAAGAGTGGTTATTTGAGGTCTAAGTTAAGCCAAGCCTGACTCTTACAAAGAGTTCAGGTTATTACAAAAGCCTGCCCAGCCTATCGGACATAGTCCTGGCGATATGCACTTCAAGACTCTGTAGTACACAAAAGCACTAACTTGACATTTGTGTTAAAAATTCGAATCTCACTACTTGTGTTTATTAATGCGGAGTAAAGAGGCTTTGCAGTGATTTCCCTATTCTTTCCTGGCTGGTTTCAACATCTTCATCTGCGCCACTTATAGTTGAAATTGTACTGCCGAGGTAAATGAAAGAAATAGTTTTCTTCAGATTTCTTCTACTGATGGTTATTGGCATCTGTCATTGCTTATAAAGTGTCTTCATCACCACCGTCTTCTCCGTGTTTACCTTAGGTCAATTCTATGTTACATCTTCTCCCAACTTGTTGTCTTTTGCTTGTAAATGTTGACATTCTTGGGGTGTTTCTTCTGTCCAATATGTTCACTTCTTCTAGTTTCTCAAAACCCGTTGTATGACCTGACCTTCTAGGGTCTTGTGTCCATTTGCCGTAAGCTTGGTTTAATTTAATACTTCTCATTGGAGCATTAGGAACTCAATATTCAGCGAAGAGAGATACGAGAACATATTCCAGTATAGCTTTACAAGGGAGAAAGGGTATGTGTGCGAAGCTCTATTCTAGACCACCTGATCGACTCCTGTTACTCGCCAACCCTGACCACTATTTTAAGATCATTTGCCGCGTTTTCTTCATTATAGACTTTTAAAGACAGCGGAGGCCTTGGCCATTCATGAATTTAAGCCAGAACTTTGTGTACAGAAGAAGTATGTACAATCCCTACTTCTGCTTTGGCAATAGATGGATAGACATTTATTTATTTATTTTGTTTATTTAGTTATTCTATTTACCTCTACCTTATTGCTGCGATTAATATTAATATTATTATTACTATTTTCACCCCAAATTGTTTTCGCTTGTCCTACTTGTTATTCTAAATCCAAGATGATATATATTTTTTACAATATTGAATTCTATCTTATAAAATTTCACACCATATTACGTAACGTTTTATATTCGCCTACTAATCCTTTGATTATGCACCCCTTCCCAACATCTATACACCTTATGTATTATTCTATATTTGACATCAATTGTTTTGATATTTGACATTTAACTATGATTATAATAATAAATATTTTAATTGCATTTCATTCTATTATTATTTCATGTATTCACACCTTTGATCTAATTCCCTCACCGGATATAATTTCTTAAAAACCACATGTATATCCGATTGTACAGCTTGATAATAAATTCGTTGGTAAACCCGATTTGTCACTGCCCAAGCAAGGTCTGCTGCATGATCTTGTCAATCAGAAGCAAGAAGATGATATAATGATAATAAGCAGGCTTGTCCTACTCCTGCTTCGACTGGAAACGGTTCATTGAAAATTCCGTTGTGAATTAGCAAACATGAGACATCATCGTATAGTTGCTGAATGAGATGAATGAATATCTGGTTCCAACATTTCACTCACCAAGCAACAAAATCAACATAAAAGTAATAGACATTTTCATTACATAAGCACAAGCTTGTTTTACGACCTACTTTTACTAAATCCAAACTTTTGTACATGCTTCATCTTTACCAGTTTGTCCACTTGACAACGTAGAAATTAACTTTTGCAAAGATTTCATAAGTTCAGGTTTAATAATACTTTACTAAAGATTATATAATAGGAAATCCAAATATCAGTGACCAAACTCATGTTGATTTTCACCTATTGAGATATACAAAATTCTAATTATAAAAATTCCATTCATGAGACGAGTGCTTGAATTTATTTCAACTACTACATTTCAGAATCATATGAAGGCAAACAGTAATTTAACACACCGAACTCCGTATTCCTTAGCCACTGGCCAAACCACGTTAAGTCAGAGGCAGTTAAGTTAAGGTGGATAGTCTACAATCATTCTGGGCCCCATTCGATGACGATAGATAGTGTCACAAATCGCAAACTACATGTTTCTCTTGAAATCAAACTGTTCCCAGAGATTTCTTTTGTTCAGGACATTTTAATCATTGCACAATGATGAGGCTTAGTATTTTGATTTAGGAGAAAGGAGTGTGGTTCAAACCTGTTTGTTGCATAGGCTTCAGTCATGCCTCTTTGGCACTTTGAAAAGATAAATTTGCTTCCAATTGATAGTACCACTCCTTCTTCCCAAATATTCTGCAGTAGGGATATGAAAAACTGTCCTGAGCTGTCTGAGTTCTTCAAGTAGGTAGGAAGTCAATGTGGTTGTTTTATTTATTTAGCAAGTAGAGGAATCTTTATGTTGTTGTAAGTATTACATATAGCGACAAAAGTTTTAGTCAGGAAAATGTCTTCAAGGTAGAAAATAGAAGAATGGAGGAAGTAAATGAGTGAAATTAAGTGAAGGTGAATGTGTCTACATCTTATCTACTACAAAATACTTGCCGGCTATTAAAAGAGTAGATGAAGGACATCGATACATATAAGCACTAAAACAAAACAATCAGTTTTAAGTAAAATGTTGAAAATCTCACTAATGATGAGAAGTAGTACTTTCTGTAGGCTAATTCGGAAGTAAACGCCACTCTGTTATGACATATTGGCATCTGAGGTGAGACAGAACGCAAGTAAAAAAGGACCACGAAACACTATATCAAACATTCAGGTCACAGTCCGAGAAGGTGTGAACGGAGATAGAGCCTATCAAAGTAACTGGACGAAGGACAATGAACAAAGAGGTGGAATAGAGGAGGCATTGTAGATGACGACTTCAAAAGACACTGCAGCCGACAGCTACCTAAAACTCGTCTAGAAATGCTGCCAGCTGACACAGAACTATCAGTGTACACCAAGCCTTCAACAAAAGTAGGTGTTTTCAAGACACTAAAATTATTAAAGAGAAGACGAGCAGCAGAACCAAAATGACTTCCTACCTACTTGAAGAACTCAGACAGCTCAGGACAGTTTTTCATATCCCTACTGCAGAATATTTGGGAAGAAGGAGTGGTACTATCAATTGGAAGCAAATTTATCTTTTCAAAGTGCCAAAGAGGCATGACTGAAGCCTATGCAACAAACAGGTTTGAACCACACTCCTTTCTCCTAAATCAAAATACTAAGCCTCATCATTGTGCAATGATTAAAATGTCCTGAACAAAAGAAATCTCTGGGAACAGTTTGATTTCAAGAGAAACATGTAGTTTGCGATTTGTGACACTATCTATTGTCATTGAATAGGGACTAGAATAGCAGTCCACTGTCCGCCACTATTTGAGGAATTTTTCTAGGTTTAATCCACGACATTGTTGGCCATAGAATTCGGCTAATGGCTTCACAATATTTATTCCGGGTCATAAAATTTTATGGACTTTATCCATTAGCTGCTTGATGAAGCCATACCT